GCCCGGGGTGCTGAGTTCTGACGTTTGGGAGGTAGTGAGTCACTGGAAATGACTCATCGCGGGACAGGGACGAGTGTTCAGTGACGGTGGAGGTGGCAGCAGGGCTGAGAGGCCGGGGGTCTGGAGGCAGTGGGATGAGTCAGAAGGTGGTTGCGTTACTGAGAACACGAGGAGGAAGGGAAAGGAGGAGACGTGGTCACGGTTATGTAAGGGGACAGAATTGTGAAGCTGTACATACGTGTTCATTATGGAAAACCAGCAGGTGTAACGAGGCCTCCGCGTGCGTGCAGTGGTTCTGGCTCTTGTCTGTGGCTCCTTCTGCCTGGCACTGTTTTCCGACTCCAGGCGAGATGACACTCCGTGGTATTCTGTGCACAGCGCTTGAGTTGCTGTATAGTGTTCCCCTGATTGGATGGACTCAGCCAACTGCTAATTGTTGGACACGTAGCCGGTTTCTTGTTCTGTATTATTGTTTATTGAAACATCTGATTGAATGTGTACATCATGAGCATGTAACTGCGCAGGTAAAGTCCTGGGTTAGTGGGTGTGTTCAGTTTTAAGGATTCTGACGCATGGTACCTGGTTCTCCTTCCCGGCACCCCCACCCCCATCAGGATACGCAGGACAGTTTAGGACTCAGAGCTGCATGTGAAGGCGCCGGCTCCCTTCCTCTAGTGAACCCTGGGTCACTGAGGTTGTTTAAAATTGATCTTTTCCCCAATTTGTCGTGAAAACCTCAAAGTACAGCTGTGTCAGCTGACCTCTTGTTGGATTTGGGGAGTGGGAGGTGGGAGGCCCACGGCAGGAGGCCCTGGAGTAGCTCCCCCTACTCTCTGCTTCGGGCTGTGTCTCTGCTGAGGCGAGGTCTCTGTCCAGGTTCCAGCTCCTGCCCAGAGGCGTCCCCCCGGCTCCTGCCAGCTGCTTCCGGTCACTTCTGTGGCCTTCGGGGTGTCAGCTTCCTGCCTGGCTCCGCTCACCTGTGAGGTGTCCCCAGCCACCTCCATCCTGGCTGGGAGTCCCACCTCTTACAGCTTTGTCACCAGTTTGCCTGTTTAAAGCACATGCACACACACGTGTGCACACACACGTGTGCACACGCACATTCACACACACACAATTTTAAAGTAAAAAGCAGACGCCGTGACATCTTAGCCCACATCGTCTAAGAATGAGGGCATTCTCTTACATGTCGACAAGGCTGGTATCAGACTGAGGAAAACTAAGGATGATTTTCTAGTATCATCTAACACTGAGTCCCTGTGAAGTTCCCCCAGCTGTGTCTGTGATGTCTGCAACAGTGGGTTTTTTGTTTGTTTGTTTTGACCACAAGGAGGATTCAGTGACCCCTCTACCGTGAATCAGGTCTCTTAGATCAGAACGGTCCCCAGTTTTTCAAAATGACAGACTTTTAACATTTTCTCTTGAAAAGTTTCTAAACTGCAGAAGGGTAGGCTGAACCCTTTACCCAAAGTGACCGATTTTCAATGTTTTGGGACTTTGGCCTTCTTCCTGTCTGTGTGCACGTAAATCTACATTAGCAACAGCACTGATTGTTTTCTGAGCAGAACCATTTGAGACCAAACCACAGATATGATGACTAACCCCTGAATAATTCACACATCGCCTAAACATAGGGCTGTTTTATGTAATTCCTGTACACGGATCCCGTCCCGCCCAGGGGGTTTTCCGGTTATCAGCTCTGTCACATCATGTGACAGATTCTTCAGTTGTCCCAGTGCTGGGCTTTTTCGTAAAGTTTTTCTCCCGTTGCTGGATTCGCTCTGGGATCATATGCTGCACCCAGAGATTAGACAGCATGGATTTTTTTTTTTTTGAAGAGAGATCAGTGTAGTTGTGTTGTTAAAAGTCTCACCTTCTGGATTTGTCTGGTTGTTACCTTTGGTGCCACGGGGCTCGTTCTGTATCCCCTCCATTTCCTGGAACGAGGTTAGGTGTGTGGATTGGTTAGGTTCAGTCAGAGGAGGATGGTGCTGTCAGGAGTGAAGATAAGACGTTGGCTTTAGGGGGAAGATAGCGGATATAAGCTTAATATATTTGAATTAATATAGGACCTGATAAAAATATTGTTCAGTTATCAGTTATTCCCAGATGGATGTCCTTTTATTCATTTTGTTAACATTTCCTGGCAAGCGGTCAGAACAACCTTCCTGGGGTATCGGACGGCTTCCAGCATCACGGGCTGCGTGAGGGCCGCTGTCTGAGACGCGAGTGTCGGGAGGGCTCAGGTCTGGAGACGTGCTGTCTGTCCTTCTCTGCAGAGAGCTTAGAGGTGAGGTGACTCTGAGAGATTTTGTCTCTGACCCTGTCTGTGGAATTTGTCTGTATGGTTATCACAGGAGTGTCAAACGTCTGTGTTTTTAAGATGCAGTAACGAATGTCTGTTTGATTTAAAACGTGTTCGTGAAGGCGTTAATCCATAGATTTATGAGCTAGAACATAACACGTAACAACACGTGGAAGGAACACAAAGCGTTTTAGCCTTGAGGCATCTGGGTTCGGCAGGCCCGGGGTAGACCCCGAGACTAGGGGTTCTCACCAGTTGCGAGGCTGATCTCAGGTGGGCTTCTGCTCGGAGAACCATCACTTCAGTTCATGAGGTTAGGACTGTCATGGAATACTCGGGTGAGTGGTTTGTCAGACTTGATTTTTAAGTAGTCAAAACCTTTTTATTAAAATAAATACTTTATGCACACCCCCATTATGCAAAGTATAAGTAGTGACGCTGTCGGGAAGAGGCTGGGAGAAGACGGGCACCTGTGATGCCAGCTGACACCACCGTGGGCGCGAGAGGGGCCGCGGTGAACCCTGGGGCGTCCTGGCTGACAGCGTTTGTTGGTGGTGACTTCCCGTCAGCACCTTACGCTCAGAGCCTCAGTTTTCTCATCTGAGAGGGAAGAGAGACTTCAGGGACATAACTGGGTTCCTTTAATTGAGATTAAATTTTTGTAAATTTGCATGTGGATTACTACTGTTTGTCATTACTGTATTTTGATTTATATTCTTTCCATTTCTGAGATTTTGTTTTTGGCCTATAGATCTATCTGCCCAATGTTTAAGAAACCTTTAAATGCGGAGGATTAACATGTGAAAGGATAATAGAAGTACTTATCCCTTATACGTACTGGCACTTCTGTCATTAGTAGTAACATTATTTTACTTGTGTTTGAAAGCCTGGAATTGCTAGATGAAACGAATAGATTGAGTATTTACATTTTAACCATTACTGTGCAAGAAAATACGAATTTTAAAATTTATTCATTTTTCATAACTACATTGTAAGTTAACACTTCTTTTTTTTCTTATTGGATATATGTATTTAATTAAAATGTAGTTGATTTACAGTGTTGTGTTAGCTTCAGGTGTACAGCCAAGTGATTCAGTTATAGATACAAGTCTAATTTTTTAGATTCTTTTCTGTTATGGGTTATTACAAGATATTGAATATAGTTCCCTGTGCTACACAGTAGGACTCTGTGGTTTATCTATTTTATATACAGTAGTGTGTGTCTGCTCATCCCAAACTCCTAGTTTAGCCCTCCCCCGCCCCCGTCCCCTTTGGTAACCATGAGTTTGTTTTCTGTGTGAGTCTATTTTTTTTGTAGGTAAGTTTTTATTTGTATTTTTTTTAAAGATTCCACATATAAGTGATATTACATGATATTTGTCTTTTTCTGTCTGACTCACATCACTTAGTATGACGATCTCCAGGTCCATCCACGTTGCTGCAAATGGCATTTTATTTTTTATGGCTGAGTTGTATTCCATTGTATAAATATACCAGATCTTTATCCAGTCATCTGTCAGCATTTAGGTTGCTTCCATGTCTTGGCCATTGTGAATAGTGCTGCTGTGAACATTGGGGTGCAGGTGTTTTTTCGAATTAGAATTTTCATTTTTTCTGGATATATGCCCAGGAGTGGGATTGCTGGATTATATGGTAACCTTGTTTTTAGTTTTTTAAGTTTGCCATAGTGGCTGCACCAGTTTACATCCCACCAGCAGTGAGGGAGGATTCTCTCTTGGAGGCTTCATGAGGGTCCGGATTCCCCAGCCCCAGCCCTGGAAGGTCTGAGTCGGCGGATCTGGGGGAGGGTCCAGATCCTGTGTTTTAACTGTCCTTCACCTTTGCCTCCTCAATCCCAGCCTTCCCTTAAAGAAAGAGCTGTACCAAACACAGCTGATCAGGTGGGGAAAATGGAGTGTTGAAACCTGGCTTGAACTTTTTATCAGTAATTCTGTGCTGTGGACAATTCAGGAGCTCATGGTGAAAGACAGTTCAGGGTGTTCTCATTTGGGTATGAATGGGAGAGGTTGTAGAAGCTTGAAAACAACTATGTTCTCTCCTTAGACAATTTTAGGGCCTGGCTTTATGTTCTAGTGTGTGTGTGCATGTGTGCATATGCACATACGTGAGTGTGCACGCACACCCAGACACCCAAGCAGACGTGTGTGACGTTTAGAATGAAGTCCCTTTGCCTTCCTTCCCCCAGCCCCACTCCCCGTTGGGGATATGGGTGCCGGTTTTGGGGTGTATTTGGGGGTATGTCTGTGGGCATATGTCCTCTTGACAGAAACGGACTCAGCGCACTTGTGCTCTTGTCAGCGCTCTTCTGTGTCTGTGTGCTTAGACGTATTTGTAGCGATGGCTTTGCGCCACCACGGCAGGCAGCCTCCTTTTCTTCAGACGGGCGGGACGTGAGGTTTTCAGATGTATCGTATATGCTGCCTGCTTGTTAGAATGTCTCAATAGATTGGATTGGGAGGATTGAGAAGGATTCCATACTGGACAGTGGGGACCCCTGCACACTTCAGAGAGGTCAGTGTTCCGTGCACAGTGAGGGTGCTGGTTTCTGTGGATCATAGCTGTGGATCAGCGTCTGAGCCAAAGGGACGTGCGAGCACCAGTGACCCCGTCCTACAGAGAGGAAACTGGGCCCAGCCAGAGGGGGCCCCTGCATGTTCAGCCCATCGCGCTGTTGCTGATGGGGTCCGGTCTTGTCTGCGGCAGGAAGTCATCCCAGTTTGCTGTTGCGTGCCCTTTGCTGCTGATGCTGACTTGCTGTGTTCGGCGTTTCTGTTCCTTTCACAGGATCCAAACTACTGGATACAGGTGCACCGGCTGGAACACGGGGATGGAGGGATTCTCGACCTCGACGACATCCTGTGTGACGTGGCCGACGACAAAGACAGAGTGAGTCCCAGGGCAGGCGCTGCCCTGAGTGCATTTTGTGCAGACTGGGGAGGGCGCGCGGTGGGTGGGGCACTCTCCCTCCTGTTTCAGACACACGTAGAAGAGCATGTGGGCCACTCACACCAGCGTGTCTGTTACGAGCCTCGTGAATCTTCAGCACCCTGAACCCAGGGCACAATAATTTTTTTGGTGCCTT